GAGGTAACGGTGTCCAAAAGGACATGCTGGCTGGGGAATTCTGGGAGTTGAAGTCCACTCATCTTAAAGTGGCCAAGTTTGGACAACACTGCTCTAAGGTCTTTGCTGTCAATCACTCTTGTTTCCCAGTGGGGTAAGCAGGAGGTAACGGTGTCCAAAAGGACATGCTGGCTGGGGAATTCTGGGAGTTGAAGTCCGCGCATCTTAAAGCAGCCAAGGTTGAGGAACCCTGCACTAGAGGGAGAAGCTCTGAGGCGATCAATGTGCAATCTAAACTCACTTTCTTCTCGCTCGATCTTTTAAAATAAAAATACCCAAGACTGAGATTCAGGCTTCTGCATGGGTTCCGATGACTAAGTTCCTTCCCCTTCTCCAAGCTCTGCCTGTTCAGACGTAGGTGCAGAGTTTTTAATAGTGGGCCCTTAGAAAGTAGGAAACCTGGTGAACCGTTGCTCTTGGATTGAATACACTTGGCCCCATTGCTTGTTTCAGTATTCTTTATAAACGCATATGGGGAGAGGATGATCTTTCCCCACCTGGGTGTGCTCCAGAGATCTGTGGCCATCAACTCCCAGAATCCTCAGCAGTAGCCAAAGTGTTGGTTCTGGGAATGGAACTCCATCCAGCTGGAGGCATCTCTGTTTGGGAAGTTTCATGCAGGGTAGTCCTTCGCTCATCCTAGTTGCCAAGAGAGGATGCCCCAAGAAGCCCATTCCGGCAGACTCTGACCTTTTTAATAAATCCGGCTTTGGCCCCAGGTGGCAATATCCTGGGGCAGTTGCTATGCCTTGATTTCCCCTCTCCTGTCCCCTTCCCTACTACTTCACTAACCCCATGCCACTAAACCTGAGTTCGTACATTATGCTGAGTCACAACAGACCAGGGTTAAAACAAACAATAGTTAGATGTAACATGTGAACCCAACATTGCAGTTTGTATACCGTAGTTTACAATTCCCCATGTTATCAGAAGTCAGCCAATTGCTGCTGATTTAGCAGACTAGAATGAAGCAAACTGTGTGCTCAGCCAACGTGTGAACCCAAATCTATGTCCCTCAAGTGTTTCCTGGCCATTAAGAATGGTCAGAGGAGTTTTAGGATTACTTCCAGTGTCCATCTCCTCTGCTGTGTGATGTGGGTGAAAACACAAGAGAAGGAAAAGCAAGGCTGCTTGCTAAGATGGTGAGTGCCATCAGTCTGAGAGGATCACAGATCCTCAGAGGTCATCAAGACTATCTCCTTCTCAGTGCAGGACCTGCTTAAGCAAACCTGGATCCGGTGACTCTGTGATCCTATCCCAGATGATTGAAACATCCAGGCATTGCCTAGTTGCATCCCAGGTACCTTTGCGAGGGTTGATAGGCTGTTGATTTTGGTTTTTGGGGAACCAACGTCTTTGTGGCCCAGTCAGGATTGGTACCCATACAGATGTGCAGGGAAAGTTTAGCCAGCTTTCTGTTCCCCGTTTCTCTGCCTTGTAGACGTAAAAATGGGGAGGTTGGATGTCAGAAGAGGGAGTAAAGATAAGAGACATTGAGTGCCTGTGGGATAAACCTAACCATTAAGTTCCAATTACCTTGGGTTTCTCAGTTGACCTGACAGACTGGGACTGCCTTTGATCCAGTTCAGCTTGCTGGGCACACACAGCCTTGGAAAGGTTTGATCAGCTGCATGACTCTTGGTTTCGGATTGTGTCCACCTCTGTGATGAGAAAGGAGGTCTCCTTGCTTTCAGGCTCTGGCGATCTTCGAAGAGGTGGCTGTGCGTTTTACGGAAGAGGAGTGGGTGTTGCTGGATGCAGACCAAAGAGTTTTGCACAGAGAAGTCATGGAGGAGATCTGGAAGACGCTGGCTTCTCTGGGTAAGGATCCTTTCCTCCTTTCCTTGATCAAAGGGATCACTAATCCAGAGCTTACCTTGCAAGAGAATGTCAGTCATGTATTTCACCTTTACATTCCTGGTAGAAAAACGGGATATAAATTAGAGTTGACTGTAGGCGGGATCAAAAAAGTCAAGATGGCGGCTGCAACCAGGCGATCAAAGCCCTTTTCATGCAGCCTATGAGAAAAGGGGGTGGGGCTTCAATCACCTGGTTGTGGTTGCCGTCTTGACCCCTTTGCAAATGCCCCAATATAAAGAATGAAAAAAAAATTATGCATGCCAGTCAAGATTCTACGTTCGCCAGTTATTTTTTAAAATAAAACTAGACTTCCATGTGGCAGTGACAGCTCAGTAGACATTTACCAGATTGCCTAGTTAAGCAGATTAAACAATTTGATAGATCTTTCTTATTTTAGATGTAGCCGATTATCTCCAATAAAAACTCTCATCAGATTTTCTCTCAATCTCCGCGTGCCTTAGCACTGATTTGTTTAGTTCTACCTTCATTTACAGCCCTGTCTGGCCTGTTGCGGTCTTAGCCAGGCTAATAATCATATACTCAGCTAATTCTTATTGATTGATTGATTAGATGCCATCGAGTTATGTTAGCAACCAAACATATAGACTTTCTCTAGGTTGATCTATCCTCAACCCAGTTTTTGTGCTTAGCAGTTTATATGCTTTATTGGTCTGAGAGTATAGATAATGTGTTTATAGTATTTGATTTGTATTTTGACACATTGGGCAGGGAGTTAGGCTACATGACCTCTGGGGTCACTTCCAACTCTGTGATTGTAGTGCTGTCATTAGGTTTAGTTTTTCTCTTCCCTTCGCTGTGCGTCTTGAGCTTTTAGCCGAGCTTGAACGGATTGATTCTCTGCACAAGTTGGTTTGCTCATTTCCTCAGAGAGAATCCTCTGGATTGTTTTTCTGTGCTCAGGTATATGCATTCCAAGAATCAAATTCCCCTCCTTGGAGCAATGGGCATAGCTACAATACCGGCTGATGCGATGATGTCGTTCATCCCAATTCATAGGGGCCTTTTAATGTGTGTGCATCCAGCGTGTCGGCTGATTGTAGTCGCAGTCTAAACTTTAGAATGTGGATTGTAAAAGTGGTAAGTGTAGGAGGATTTTCCCAGGGGTACCTTTCAACCAGAGACCAGATCACAATTACAGTGAAGCTCAAATTGCTTTATTAGCCAATTGCAGTAAAATAAATTTGCTATTTACTATTAGCAAATGAGGTGGAATAGGGAAGCCTAAATAGGGGTGGGGTTACAAGTCTTCTTTACGGACTTAAGGCAAATCATTTTTGATTGGTAACAGCAAAAAACCCTTGATTAGATGTGGACGTAATTGTACTACTTAACAGGATTCAGCATTTCAATTAGCAATAATTGTGCCTCGGATAAACCTCATTGGCTACAGTACTGCCACTGTGCAAAGCAAAGATGTTTTGATTTGATAACATTTCACCTGAATGATAAGGTTAACTTTATTGATTGGGTTAATACAGATGCTTGTTAAAATGTGTAATGGGGATGTGGAGGATGCAGTAATATATCACTTATACAGTGGAACTCTTGTATAAGTGATACACTGTGTAAGGCCGAAAAATTCATCTCAAGTTATTTTTATTACGGCTACTATCTGAAAGCTTCAAGTTCCCAGATACAGTAATACCTCGGTTCACAAACGCTTCTGTTCATGAACAATTTGGTTCACGAACAGCAGCATTTGCAAAATGTTGCTTCCGTTCATGAACTCCACATCAGGTGACGAACACGACCTGCGGCCATCTTCCCTGCTCTGACGTGGTCGTGGCTTCCTCTAGGTGAGATCGCCTGTACTTCCATATTTCATATTTTTGTGGTTAAAAAAAAAATACATATGGTTCAGAACGGATTAACCTTATTTACACTGAACCTTATGGGAAAATTTGATTCAGTTCATGACCAATTCGGTTCGCAACCAGGATCATGGAACGAATTAAGTTTGTGAACCGAGGTACCACTGTATAATAGTTAATTCCTTGCAGCTAGGCTAGCATTCTTTGCAAATAACAGTTTTGCGTATCTTACTAGCTCTTGTTACATTCTTTGTGCCTAAGAATTATCCGTCTCTAATTGCTTTCTAGCTAAGCTGGCATCTCCGCTTGGACTGGAAAATATGTGTGGATTAAGATCTTGATGCTGGACCCTTATTGTTTATTGTATAAGCAAGTTCTTCCCATTCTCTTTCTGGGCAGAGGCAGAGACAGAGATGTTTGTCATCTGCATGCTTTTCCTGCACAAGAGCTAGACATATAGAGCACTTTTATAAATATATAGCACATTTTATATACATAGTAATATGTTTCCTTTGGTTTTCCTTCAAAGAAATATTTCTGGCTCTGAGATCTGATGATACAACTCTGTTAGATGAAAATCTGCCAGCTGAAGGTTTCAAGGAAGAAGAAGAGAAATTTACAGGCAATTCGTCAGCTGGTTGGTGGGATCCTTGGGTAGGCGAATCAGGTGAGTTGTGGAGGGGGGATGTGAGAGATTTTGGGGGAGGCTGGGAAAGGAATGGAAGTGAGAGTAGACATAAACAGCAGATGGAGTGATTTAGTTCATGGCCTATCTCATAAACAGCTTAGGTGGTGAGAAATCTGGAAAGAAGCATTTCCAATCAATTCAAAGAGATTTAGTCTTAATTAATTCACCATAAACCAGGCTGGGAAATTCTTCTTGCAGTTTCCAAGATGCTGTGTTTATCCCAAGACTAGTTTAAAGAGATCTTGCTGGAATCTGTGACATTCTTGCCCAGTTACGAGATCACTTTGAGCTCCACTCTTTTGTATGTGCAGTGACTTGCGCACACACGCCTGCCAAGTTTTATCCTTGGCTTATTGGATAGCAGTTAGCAGCAATGCACAGAACTTTTTAGCATTCAGCATTTACTTGTCTTTGTCCCCTGCTTGTCTTGTCTGCAGTTCACACATCGGCATCTTTCTCTCTTTGTTCTTCCAGGTGATGAGAAAGAGAATACTGCAAATGGCGAAGAGCAGAGCAGAGAAACTGTGCCAGATCAGAAAGGGAGAAAGAAACCACTTTCACCTGAAACTCTGTGCTTTGATGACATCCGGCTGCTAGAAGGAGGCTGTGTGGGAAAGAGAGAAGATGAAGGTCAGGCAAGAAAGATTGGGAAGTTAACCTCTTCTTGTGGAAAATTACTGAGTGAGATCTCCAGCACTACAACCCCTAGCAAAGTCCTGGAATTAGAGAGGCCGTGTAAATGCTCGGAATGTGGGAAGTGTTTCAAAGAGAAGATGCATCTTGTTGTACATCAACGAATCCACACAGGAGAGAAGCCATTTCAGTGCGTAGAGTGCAGAAAGAGCTTCAGCCGGAGTCACCATCTGATTGGACATCAGAGGACCCACTCGGGGGAGAAGCCATTCAAATGTACGGAATGCGGAAAGAGCTTCATTGATAATAGTAACCTCACCAAACATAAAAGAATCCACACAGTAGAGAAGCCATTTAAATGTACAGAGTGTGGAAAGAGCTTTAACCATAGTAGCACCCTTTCCTCCCACCGAAGGATCCACACAGGGGAGAAACCATACACGTGCGCGGATTGTGGGAAAAGCTTCAGCCAGTGGACGAACCTTAACACACACCAGCGGCTACATACTGAGGAGAAACCATATAAATGCTCTGAATGTGGAAAGAGCTTCTGTCAGAGTAGTAGTCTGTCTTACCATCAGAGAACCCATGCGGGGGAAAAACCATATAAGTGCTCTCAGTGCGAAAAGACCTTCACATGTGCCAGCACCCTTGCGTTACACCAGAGAATCCATACTGGGGAGAAGCCATTTGCCTGCTCAGAGTGTGGCAAGAGCTTCACTCAGCGGATACACCTGACTCGACACCAAAGAATTCACACTGGAGAAAAACCGTATACGTGCCCAGACTGCGGGAAAAGTTTCAGGCAGTGGACGAGCCTTACTACACATCAGAAAGGGCATACATTGGAGAAACCATATATATGTTTGGAGTGTGGCAAGAGCTTCTCTCAGAATAGTGGCCTGTCCTATCATCAGAAATCTCACGTGGGTGACAAACCATATAAATGCTCCGAATGTGAAAAAAGCTTTGCTTATAGTAGTACTCTGACTTTACACCAGAGAATCCATACTGGGGAGAAGCCATTTGCTTGCTCAGAATGTGGGAAGAGCTTCACCCAACGGATACACCTGACTCGGCATCAAAGGATCCACACGGGAGAGAAACCTTACATCTGCTCGGAGTGTGGGAAGAACTTCAGACAATGGACGCACCTTATTGCTCACCAGCGAGTTCACACAGGAGAAAAATTGGACAAATCAGAGGGTCAACTTCTGGCCTACCAGATGTTGCTGAATTACAACTCACAGCATCCCTCCCCATTGCCTGTGGTAGCTGGAGCTGTTGGCAGTTGTAATGCAGCTACAACCGCTGGGCCACCAGTTCCCCATCCCTGATAGCAGGTGTTGGAATTTTCATTAGAGAATTGGGACTTAGGTTCTGTGCTCAGTTGGTTTCTGGAGCTTGGGAAATGTTCATTCAAAGCAATGTTTCTATGCCATGTTTTTAATGCTTTGGATTTTAAAAATGATAAGGAATCTATAGGATATTGTACACTGGTTTGTAACATGGCAGTTCCATTTTACATGAACTAAAGTCTGGGTTGTCTCCAAGGCTGGTCTGGTGAATCGTGTCTGTTCACAGATGTGTTTTATTTCTTCTAAAAAATGGCACATTGCTCTTCAAAACCAACTTTTTCCAAGATGGCTTGCGGTACCTCAGAATTACCTCTAAGATATTTTGGAAGTGAATGCATTCATGAAAAAGGCAGTCTCTTGAACAACAAAAGGAATATTAATTTAAAAGCAAGGCTGCATATACATCTTAAAAATGAGCATGTTAATATATTGAAAGACTAGAGGGAATAAGAAGATCTTTGTGTGGAAAGAGAAGAGAATAGGCATCTGGTGTTGATCCTTGGAGAAGGCATTTCCTAGTTTGGGGAACAAATGCACCTGAAAATCTGACTGATGAGCTCATTCATTGTAAGCCCATTCATCATATCTAAGCTTTGGGTGGCCTCCAGATTAGATCTCTGCAGCAGAAATTCAGAGTACAGTCAGAACAGATGGGAAGAGGCAGTCCGTCAGATACAGCGTCCTGAGCCATGAAGGACTTCGCAAATTAATACCAGCACCTTCAGATTGGGTCTGTTTAACTGGCAGTCCGCAAAGATTGTGTGGAACTGGCTTGTTCCTAAATTCAGTTCCAGTTTGTCACCTTCCTGTAACATTTTGTATGAACTGAATTTTTTGGACAGTTTTCAAGGGCGGCCTTATTGGATATCACATTGCAGTAGTCTAGAAGTGTAGTTGCTAGGCCATGGAGTACCGAAGGAAAGCTATACAGTTGCCTACATAAAGTGCAATCTTGAATGAACAGCAAGGGTATTTTATTATTTATGGTACTTATGGCATAAATTCCATTGATGATAATAAAAAATAATGCTTCTCCTTGGATTACTGGATTTCACAGCAAAGTGAATTCCAACTCAGATGTGCAAAGGTTCTGAATTCAAACTGCTTTGAATTGAAAATGTTCCATTTTGATTTTATGTCCTGTTTTGAGCAAAAACAGCTTATTCCAAGATTGAAAGAGACAGTTTTGGGACCACGTATTTTGCATGTGAAACAGGGCTATTCTGAGCTTGAAGCACTTTGATTAAAATTGGAAATAGCCCCTTTTTTATTCTTGAAAGAATGATTTCATGCTCGAAATTCAAGCTGGCTCAAATTTGAAACATTTTGCATGCCCGTAGTTCCTCCAAATGCAGAGATGTTAGTATGAGAAATCTGGATTGTTTCCTGAAGCTTTTTTTCAACCAACCTTGAAAGAAGAATTAGGATGATCATAGTTGGTATATGCTTAACTTGTGCTTTACTTGTGTTTTTGTTTCATTTCTGTATTTCTGATTGTGTAGCTTTTATTTTGTTTTGGACTTCTACTGTGTTTTGTCTTGATTGTCCTGCTTGGATGGAAAGAGAAGATAGAAAGGAGATAAATGTCCCATTGCAGAGGAAGGAAAGCATATCAGTCTAGGTGTTATTTTTCACTGTCTTCCAATTAACAGATATTGGACCATTTTTACCAGTCACCAGTGTATGGCAGGGAGGTTTTATTTCTTCATGTGTTTGTATCAGTCTTTGCTTTCTTTTAACCATGATTTGGCGAAGAAGCTACAGTCTTGTAACATGGTTAAACCAAAGAAACTATGCATGACATAACAAGGGCGAGCAGCCCGTCAACTCCTGGTACATAAATCTCTTCCCACTCTCTACTCTTTCCTGCATTAGCATCAACATTTCATTTCTCTCTGGATATTTCTGCACAGCAGTGGATTACACCGAATAGCCCAGCTTGATCAGGCCAAGCATGTTATTGTTCATGGTGGCCAACCAAATGTCTGAGGTGCTTCTAAGCAGGAGGGGGAGATCTGCCCCACTCCTGCTGTTCCTCTCCTCCAATTAGTATTTGGAGATGGGGGTCAGCTTGGAGGTAGAGTTTAATCTTCAAAACTGACAGTCCTTGATGGACTTTTCCTCCATGAACTTCTCCAATCCTGCTTTTAAGCCATCTGAGATAGTGGCCATCGCCATGTCTCATGATAACGAATTCCACAGGTTAATTATGAGCGGGATGAACAAGAAAAACATTGTCTTTTGTCTGTTCTAAATTTCTTGCAAGCAGCTTCATTGGATGATCTATAGTTGTAATGTTTGGTGGGAGGTAGAAAAACACCTTTTCCTCTTTTTCCGTGTTGTGCGTGATTTTATACACTTTCATCCTGTCCCCCAAGTTAACTTTTTTTTTTAGCTTATCAGTTTCAGACATTCTAGCCTATGAAGCCACCAGATCATTTTGGTTGCCATCTCTTGTATTTTTTTTTTCCAATCTTGCAACCAGAACTATGCACGGTATGCCAGATGTGGAAGTATCAAAGATTCATAGAAAGGCATAACAGTATTGACAGATTTATTTTCAGTCCCTTTCCAAGTGATCCCTAGCGTGGGGTGTTTTTTTTTTTTCCAAACTTCATTTCCCACCAGGTTGATCCTTCATCCAGTTGAAAGAGATCCTTCTGAAGCTCCCCACAATCATGTTTGGTTTTCACTGCCCAGAATAATTTGATAACAATATATTTCCAAACACTGAGATTGAGATTGGCAGTCTGACTGACTGAATGAACTGCCACCATGCTCACAACTTCCATGTATAGGTGGGCAGTGAGAGCCTCCAGCCTATAGGTGGTCCTCATGCTCCTTTTTGCGGCTGATTGTTTTAATAAATTGTCTCCTTTGGGATTATTTTACATGAAAAAAGGGAAGAAATCTTATAAATACAATAAACAATGTTTTATTGCAACATGTTTTATTGTATGTACCACTGTTGGAATAAAAGAGATTTTTCTGCCCAAGTGGGAATCTACCACCAGTAAGAAGATATTTCAATGAAGATTTCTTCAGTCTGAAGAAGCTGCTTGGATAAGCAGTGAAACATATCAAACCAAAAGAAAAGAAGTCCAGTTGCCATGACTCAACCTCCAGACAGCAAGAAAATACTTTCTACAACCTGAAATCTTAGGGTTCCAATCATTCAGTAATATGACATTCAGCATTTTTTAAAATTTAGTATACCATCACCTAAAGATGGCTTTGCTGATGTAAAGAGTTCTTAAAATACATGTGTGCACACCCATTGTCACTCTTACTTTTCTCTCTCAGTTCTGGAGACTGAAATTTTCCAAAGGCAAGGAACAGATTTACAACTCAATCCATTTGTATTTTCAGAGTGGCGATAAAAATCGGCCACTACTCTTTGGATTCTAGGACTCTATGCTTGTTGGAATTTACCATGGCAACACCTACTGTTAATTAACGTATTTAGTCTTGAGAGGGACTTTGAATTGATTTGGACCCACCACCTGTTTTTTCTGACCTTCTGCCCAATGATGTGTCCTAGAGAATGTGGAAGTTTGCTGAGTGTTTAGCGCTGTTTTGCCCTGTCCCAGTCAAGGTTTGGTTCTTCTATGGATATTGGTTGTAATAAATATGTTGGTCTTTAGTGTGCCACATACTCTTTCTTTTCTTGTTTGCTTGCAAAACATTTCCAAAGGGAGTGTCAGCCCTTCAAGGTAGATCAGACTAGGAATCCAATGTCATGTAGATTGTGCTACTTTTATTGTAAGGTTATAGTAACAGAATCCTGTACGTCTGAATGTGCTTCCCCCTTCCCTCTGAGAGAACTAGGGAGGGGTTTGTCTGAGACATTTACTCACATTACATTCTTGCCCTGGACTCAGGCCTCTTTTATCTGACTGTTGTCTTGGTAGTGGCTCTTCCTCCTATCCCTCAAGGCCACTCCTTCTTCCCTCTATAGAAAACAAAAGTACAGTATGCACTTGTCAGGAGAGTCCTTTTGAGCCCTTCAGGTTCTTTGCTGGCCTTGAAAAGGTACCTAGTCAGAGCTGAGATAAAAATCTCTTTAGTCAGTGAGACACCATATTGAGCCTGATGGTGAAACTTCTAAATGTTGATGTCCCAGTTTCTTGGGGGTGAGGGGAAAGGTGTCAGCCCTCTGAGATAGGCCAGGGCAGGGATCAGATGTCACAAGGATTACAGGAACACTACTTTCTTGTTGCAGGGAATAATAGCAATCTTGAAAGCCTGCCAGAATTTCCCTCTGCCCTCTCATACTAAAGAGAATCAAGGCAGGGTAATCTTGAGTTTCTTTCTCATACCCTTCCCAGGGCTGAGTTGTCTTCTATTTTTCTGTAATGGTCCTGCATGCTTTTATCAAGATTATCCCCATTTTCCTCTACAAGAGGATTCTTTTCTGAAGCTTTGCCCCATAAAATCTGGCACAGTCAAAGGCACTTATCACAGCAATTTGTAACCAAGGAAGTAAGAGACAGAATCCGAATTTCATTAATCCAGATTAATGGTAGGAAAAAAAATTCAGATACAGAAATTGGAAACTAAGTAAGCGATGCTCCAGCTCTCGTTTACTATTAGTGAATAAGATTTGGGAAGTGTAAGCCAGGCACACCAACTACAGTTATCCCATGGACCATCATGTAACCAGGTCCACTGTTGAGAGTGATTCCATCTCTCATCACCTGATTAATAAATGAACCCATTGTTAGTTTGACAACACACTGAACCATAAATTAGCCAATATATGTAGTAATAAATCAAGCTATGCCTATTATGCAAATAAAGCTCCTAGATGTTTAACCTGAGCATGAAACTGAGCAAACTCAGGGAGGCAATGAAGGACAGGAAGGCCTGGTACAATATGGTTCATGGGGTCACGAAGAGTCGGACACAACTTAACGACTGAACAACAACAGATGTTTAACTGGCCCAGTGAGGTGTGTGAAGGGTGGGCTTTATTGGCCTAGTAGCACCATAATAAAGGGCTTAAACCCTGCCAGTTCCTTTAACCTGTATAGTCTCTTTTTTTTTTTTTTTTTT